GATAACAACTCAAGTCACCAGTGGAACATGTAGGCTTGATTGTGACTATTGACAACTATCAGAGATAGAAATGATGAGAGACTTCAAAACAGCTCTTCCACTGGACCACTTTGGTATCTTTTGGAGTTATATTTGTCAAGGAACAGCATGATGGCAGGTAAGTAACCTAGCTAGCTCTTACTATGTAACTCTTCATCTCATCTGATCAATTGATTTATAGAATCATGAAGTGGGAAGCTTTCTCAGAACACTAGGCTAGAATACAATTCATTGGGCCCTGGAGGTTTGAATTCATCTAAATTGCTAAATGTTCTTTCATCCTCTGTCTATCCTGAGCTGCAATTCCCTCCTTTCACCATTGAAGGGCCAGCTAGACCTCATTTTCTACCTGGGTTAGTCTGGAGTGATTTGCTAACTTTTTTGTTAATTACTGCATTTCTCTGCAGGCGCTTACAAACATGCAGTTCAATACTGCCAAAGGACCTTGCCCAGTACAAATGTCAAGTTGACAGGTCTATCATTTCTCAAGTCCTCCTTTTTTTTTCTTTTCCAATGAGAGGGATAACATTTTTTTTCTTATTTACATCTTTGAATTTTGCCCTTACTCCAGAAGTTCTGAGAGTTTACAGTAAATAATTCTGTAATCACCTCTGCTAGCTCCTTCTGTACCCTAGGATGCAGTTAAACTACCCTGGAAATTTGAATTCATTTAAATTAAGTATTATTTTACCCTCTCCTTGTCCATCTTGAGCTGCCCAGAGAATACCTATAATCTCCAACAATTCTGGGATTCATTGCAATTCACAGATGTGAATAATAAAATAATAAGATAAAATGGGTTAATCTTCAAAATGCCATAAGACTCATTTCTTTTTTCCTTCCCAAATAGGTCTCTTAGATTATGAAATAGTTTCCTTATGGAACTACTCTGGAGGGGTTGTAGTGTGGGGACAAGAGTATAAGACTCCTTAATGCTTATTCTCCTTTCCACCAGCTCGGCTTCTTTTCCTAGCCATGTACCAGAGATGTAGAAACATTTCACATTTCTCCTCAATGTGATTCTATCTCCTATTTTTCAGCTTCCATTTTTACTTTAGTTTGTGAATCTCCCAAAATTGTTCTTCTAGGTGTATGATTTTGGAAATTCCTTATTGGACATCTTGCTCCTACTCCTCTCCCCCCCTGGGGATGCTTAGTGAAGCAAACAAGTTCTCAGTTGCTACATCTTGGATCCTTGTCCTAGAACTTGGTTTGAGCGTTTTACAAATCTCCTGCTAAAAGAGCAATGCAATTAGCTGCTATTTTGAGAATGAATTTTCTTCTACAGTATTCACCCTATGACTGTTCTTCTCAAACAAGTAGGAGCATAGTAAGAACATAGAATTCATGTTATTAAGAATGCTTGCAAAATTATTGCTTTGAGGACAGTATTGGTACCATTATTTTGGGGAGCTATAAGGTTGCAAGGTCTATGCTAGAGAATGTATTCCCATCTCATGAATCCAGTAGCTTGCTCTACGTGAAGCAGAGATGTGGCTGCCTTGACATCACAATTTCTAACTGATGAGCAGAGGGATTTCTTTAGGAAATCTGCCTAGGTCATTTTTTAAGTCCTCAAGTAATATTTTGCAAACAATATCATGATAATTTTACTAGCATTATTATGATAAATTTCCTTTCATAATGAAGGTTGATCCCAGGATATGAACATATTCCTGTTTCATGGGTTCTGTGCAGGCAGGTAAGCAGTATGTCTATTTTAGTTACAGTAAAGTAAAATAAAATATTATAAAAATATTATAATTTTATATTTTATTATATTATAATTTAAATTCTAACTGGAATCAAATTCCCAGTGGATAAATTTGATCTCTATTGAGGAGAAATTATATGTTCTTTATCGGCTACAGATCAGCCTTGACCAACCTGGAATCCTTCTGAATATATTGGATTAGAACCTATCGTTCTTAGCCAGCTTCTCCAATGTTGGTTGCAAGTTAATTCTATATCACAATCTGGCAGCAGATTAGAGAAAACTGACCAATATCTTTGCCACCTTCATCTACTTAGAGACATAGAAAACTAATGGCAGAAGACCTAATGGTCCATTGAGTCTGCCCTTTGAGGCTTTTTAAAATTTCTGAAATGTTTGTCAGATGATGGACATATGTTTATTCAAAGCATGTTTAAACTCAGTTACTAATGACTGGCCCACTAGTATTTGGTGTAACCCAGAATACCTAGATTTCTATAGATGCATTGTTTTGCTGTCAAAATGTCAGCCAGTTGCAAAACATTTATTTGAAAAGAAAAACATCTTCAAGAAATATAAACTTATGTACATGAAATAGGTATTGTAAGAGATTATAGAAACCAGGAGGCAGAGGAGGAATATAATGGCCACGAAGGGAGAGAAGGAAACATTCCTGCCATAATCATCTTGCTATATGCCTGTTTTCAAGAACATGTTTTTATCCTGACTGGCATTAAAGATACCTCGCTGTATGAATTTACCAGCTGTATGATGCACAGGTTCTGCAGATGATGGGGGGGGGGTGTCAACATATAGGTGTGAATATGTGATTGAAATCTTTCCATATTACATGCATCATATGTGTAAAAAAGGGGGCTTCTATTATGCAGTTCTGTCTACCATCTTGCCTTTTGATGCCCTCTCTGCAAATACCCTTCTATGATACCAAATATATAGGGAGGGGAAAAAAGAATAAAGATCAACAGTAAGCCAAAAATTTATTCCAAAGTTTGTTAGCTTCCAGAGTGTCCTGATTACTGTGTAAAGTGTGTCGTAACTATAGGATCTGATCATCTTCATCAAAGAAAATAAATGGTTTTTATTTCCAAACACATATGCATGCAGCCCTACGCAAATAAGGAAGGAAAGAAAAATTGGCTTAATATTGCTTCCTTCTTCTGTGATTGAATTCTTTCATTTAAAATGAGATTCCATTTTCAATGTAATATAAATATTCAGACCAGAATACTAATTGCAAAGGAGAACAAAGAGTCTTTAATAAAAAGGAATAATTAACAGCATAGGAAGTCTTCTTTGCAAAAGTAAAATGCATTTCAGCTTCTGTGAGAAAGGTAGCCTTTTTAATTAGAAAATATGATTTACAAAAACAAAAGGAAAAGGGAAGGAAAAAGAGACATCTAAAAATGAAGCATTATCTGAGGAACTATGCTAGTGCCGTATGCTAAAAAGATCTGGTTTATGCTTAAGAGTTCAGTAGAAGCTTGTGAATGATTATTATTCATATCTATTCCTTGGACAGGGCATGATGATCTTCATTTTAGTCTGAGCATCAGAACCTGCTTCAAAAACAGTTTGGTGGCTTTACTGTTAATTCTCTCCACAAGCATCTTTCTACTTTCCATTGCTATGTTGGAGTTGGCATCTTTTGTTGTTTATTAATTTATTACACTTTGAACTATGGTGCTGGCTTTGAAGACTCCTGCAAGTCCCTTGGACTGCAAGGCGTTCAAACCGGTCAGTACTAGAAGAGATCAACCCCGACTGCTCTTTAGAAGGCCAGATCCTGAAGTTGAAACTCAAAATACTTTGGCCACCTAATGAGAAGGAAGGACTCACTGGAGAAGGGCCTAATGCTGGGAAAGATTGAGGGCAATAGAAGAATGGGACGACAGAGAATGAGGTGGCTGGATGGAGTCACTGAAGCAGTAGGCGTGAGCTTAAATGGACTCCAGAAGATGGTAGAGGACAGGAAGGCCTGGAGGAACGTTGTTCATGGGGTCACGATGGGTCAGACACGACTTCGCAATTAACAACAACAATTTATTAGACATTTTCAATCCCATGTTTTGATCCTTAAGCATTCCCAGGTCCTGAAGGTGGGTAATTATACACTGCTTCTACTTTTGTTTTGTTTGTACATCTGTATGCAGAAAAGGAGTGGGCAGGTCTCAACCTTTGCATCATTCAATAGCAAGCATGTTGGTGGCAGAATTTTCTAAAAAGCACTGAGGAATCTGTTTTTCTAATGGAGGGAACTCCGGCCTCACTCTCCCCACCACCACCACCCACTACACATACCTGAGTTTCAGGTCCTATAATGCTAGTTTGATTACTTTGCAAGTACCCAGGTTAAACAGTAGGTATGCTTTGTCCATATTGTTTCTTTCTCTTCAGCAAAGACCACAGAGCTTCAACATGCCAGGATCTGCATTTTTTTCCCTTTTCTCCTTCTCTTTTATATGGAGGGGAATTTTGTGGCTGCATAGCCTAGACCATTTTGGGATCAGGGTTTTGGATACATTTTAGATCAGCAAAAGCAAAAGTAATCGGAGATGTCTATGGCTTTAAGCAGAGAAAGTGCGTGAGGCAATCTATGTGTCCCAGGTAGCTAATTAGGGCAGGTATACTAAGGCTTAAGCTACTCCTTTCTGCATATGTTCTGAAACTTTGCATAATATACTCATTATCTGATTAGAGTCAGGTGGACCATAGCAATCCTATCAATTTACATTTATCCCCACATAAGGTTTTTAAATTGCATTTCTCATTTTTATTGAAAATCACTTTGAGATGTTTTTTACAAAATAAATGTATATAAATATTTTAAATAAATGAAAGAACCAAAGTAAGTTGTTATGATCAGGAAAACCATCTGAATCTATTCCTGGATAAAATATTCACTTTTTTCTGCATCCACAAATGTTCACTGTACACGCATCAGGTTAATTCCATCTCCAGAGTTTTTCTCTGCATAATATCCAGAGGAAAAAAGAGGGAGTGCTATGAATCTCTCTGATGTTTTGATTTCATCATATGCCAGAAATTAAATATGACCAGCTGTCACTATAAATCAGTTCTTATATTTGCAAGTTGAAAGCTTAACTTTGCTTCTGCTTGGGGTTTTAGTATTTCAGCAATGCTTTCAAAATACAATAGGTTTACAAGTTTTGACCAGGCCACTTGCCACTGGACTGCATTCCCTTATGACTCTAATCTTGTTCTCTAGGGCCCCTTCTCCCATGGAATAGGATCAGGAAGGAAAAAAGAAGCATGGAACATTCTCCCCAAGGACACTTTCAGGGCACCTGGTGTGAATGTAGCACTCTCCCAGCCTTGTTGCAGATGGCCAAGAGACACTGTTGCTATGGCAAAATAGGATCTAAAGAGGAAGATATTTCCCCCTCCCCAATTTCTCCTTGCCCAGGTAAAAGAGCATTTGTCTGCTTGAAACTGAAGAATTTCAAGAATATATATATGGGTCTTTGGTTATTCGGGTTTTCTCCAGCATAAAATTGGAAGTGTCTTGGCGACGTTTCGACGAAGTCCCATTCATCATCTTCAGGCTGAAGTTTTCGGCTTCATGTCTCTGTGCCCAGCTTCTCAAGTGCGTCATTGGCCCATTAATTGTGTTAATCTGCAACGTGCTAAGTTGATTCGCATCCGGCAGCCTGTTGGCGGATCTGATAGTTGTGTTCAGCAATGGAGGATCTAACACAACTATCGGGTACCCCAACAGGCTGCCAGATGAGAATCAACTTAGCACATTGCAGATTAACACAATTAATGGGCCGATGACACGCTCGAGAAGCCGGGCGCAGAGATAGGCAGCTATATAGACAGGCTCCCTAATCACCTAGCATTCCAACTCTGATGACGTCCGCAGTTTGGCCGACGAAAGCGCAGTAACTCTTTTACTTACAAGTTTGTTTATATTAAACGGTCTTGTTTATTTTTATCCTGGTGTTTGTTTTTCTAACAGCTGCTCATACTGAGAAGATCAGATGTTCTGCATGAAGATCCTAAGGGTCAGTTCCTTACATTTCCAGATACGAGATGTGGTAGAGTTTGGGCTGCAACTGTTCATCACCAGAATCCCAACCTGGAAAACTACAATTTGATTTTGTGAGATTTCGAAGGTTTTTTTCCCCTCTTTCATACCTTAACAAATCATATATTCTCTCCACATAGCTGGAAAGCTGTTAGCACTGCACAGATAATCGTTATAGCACTCAATAAAAAAACACATTTTAATTGTAAACCTCAAATTGTAAAGAAAACTAAATTAACAAACATATCACAGAAACCATTTCAAAATGAATAGTGTATATGTATGATTAATATGCAATAAACATTATTAACTACTCAAAAGGGAAATGCCAGCATATCTTTAAAGGCAAAGTACTATATTTGAGTCTAATTTTCATAAACACTACAAGTCATAAATTAACTTCAAATCAGGAGATAGATTTTCAACTACCAGATTACAGAATCTTCTAGGCCTGTACCATTTAGTTCATTGCCTCAGCTACTCTTTTTAAATGGAAAGAGTAAAACTGAAGGGATCAAGAGGTGAGATGTATGTATTTAATTAGTTTCCACCTTCTTTAATTTGGGGAATTCAAATTAAGGAGATTTGTTTACAAAACAAATCAAGTCCCTCCCACAAGAGTGCACTTCTGATTATGAAGTCATTTTATCTTGATTGAGGCTTTTTGATGCTTAACCAAATACTTTATTTACATAAACACATTATGTACATCGCAGTTAGCATTGAACTTCCAGTCCCTGTGCATCAGCCTATTAAATTGGGAAAAGGTGGAAACAGCGCTCCTAAGGCCTTTTCGGGAATACCGAAGAAAGAGGGAGGTTAGTTCCAACTCGCTTACTATCGAATCAAGTTTATAAAAACTACCGTATTCAATTTCTCATCTTTCAAGCCCGTAGCAATTTTGGAAAATGGCCGTCCCTTCCATTTCCCAGTAGGGTCAATTTATATTAACTGCGATCCTCCAAGCAAGCGTGATTTTTTTTACTCAGAGCACACCTGGATCCTGCTGCGCTTTCCAAAAGGAGATGCAATCCTTTCATGCATGATTCAGCTCCAGAGCAAGAAGGGGAGACGACGGGACGCCTTCCGTAATTCGGATCACCCTACTTGGGTTGCCTTATCCGGACGACAGTTAAAGCCCAGCAAATAATACTACTGCTTAACATCTAATGGCCGGATTTTATTTTATTTTTTAACAGCCCAGATATTATAATTCTATCACAAACGCCCATGCTTTGAGGTAAGAAAGATTTTTACGTTGCTGCTGCTGCTGCTGCCGCCGCCGCTGTCATCGCCGTAGCTCTTTTGTCACCGGGAAAAAGCGGCGCGGCTGCTGCGCTCCCCCTGCCAGACTGGCGGAGAGACCCGGACCTCCCGGGAGGAGCAGGAAAAAGCAGCTCGCGCACAAGCAGGTGCACGCTCCGCGTTTTCATTGGCAGCGCCTGCTGCAGCCGGCGCCGGAGCCTCGCGGGCCTTTGGCTCTTGGCCCCGCCCACCCCTGCAGCCAGGTAGGATGAGCGCGAGCAGTGGCGCGCGCCGCGAGTGTCTCTCAGTCCTCCTCCGCTAAGCAGCCGAGAGCAGTGCGGCGGAGGCGGCGGGAGCAGCAGCAGCCGAGAGTCGCGGTGCGCCCCGCTGGGAAAACGACGGTGGCTCCATGCAGACAGGCAGGCAGCCCTCAGGTAAGGACGGTCAAAGGGTCCTCTGGTAGGAGCTGGCGGGGGCGGGGAGGTAAGGCGAAAAAGGCAGGCGAATCCTGAGGCTGGTCAGGAAGGAGGGGTTCTGGCGAAAGAAGGTGCGACGTGAAGGGAAATAACTTTACATCCCACATTTTCTCCCCCAAAAGATATTTCACTGGCAGGAGATACTCAGAGGTGCTTTTTTTTTTTTTTTTTTTTTTTTGCAAATGACCAAGCTTATCTTCGGAGGAACTGGAGGTGGGGGGCGGGGTTCAGTTGGAGGAAAAACTGTGTCGCCTTGTCGTCTACCCGAGCGCCAGCCAGGGACGTGGACAGGTCGGCGTGTCCATTAGCGCAAGGGCTTTTCTGCGCTGGGAAAGGATTGCGTTTCCCGAGGTGGATCCGTCGCAGACCCGGAGAGCCTGCGGGGGAAGAATTGTTTTAGGAGACCAATTTCTTTTTTCTTTTGGTACCGCAGTGCTGCCATCCTGCCAGCAGGGAGCGCAGAAGAGCCGAATGGGTAACTGGGCTGGGTGATGGCTTCGGTTCCATTTGCGGGGGAGAAGCCAAGAAAGTCTGGGGGGCCCCCTGTCTAGATCGGACCAGGGGGAGTTGCGCGGAGGAAATTGCCCCCCTCCTTCTCCCCGCTAAAGCAGATTGCCTGCTCTGTTTGCAGACCGTTTCAATCCGGATGCCCTTTGCGGATGAAAGATGTATCATGGAATGAACCCGAACAGCGGGGATCCGTTCCTAGAGCAATCGCTGCCGCCGCCTCCACCGCTGTTTCAGCGATGCCAGTCTAAACTCTCCCTGGTGGTCTTGTGGCTCCAATTGGCGCTGTGCTTTGGCCCTGCACAGATCACAGGCGGTGAGTGAGTGGCTGGTTCGTGTGACAAGCGGTAGCAAAGAACGCCCAGCTCTGGGGAGGGAGGAGGGCGTGAGAGAGCTCAGGCTGCTTCTGACAGGCAGGTCCTCCTTCACCCCGGAGGAGGCAGCCTCTGGCTATTGATCTGGTGTGCACAAAATGCTGAAATGGGAAAACATCCTCCCACAGCCTTGCCTGCCTTGCTGCTTCTCAAGTCAGTGGATTGGGAAAAGAGAAAGGCTGAAGGTAAAACTGTCTTTTCCTCCTATTCAAATCCATTAGAGGAGCGACCTCTTAAATGACTACGTCCTACCAAGGTAAGTTAAAAGAGGTCTTCCTTAAATAAATAAGTCCTGCAGAAGAAAATACTTCATGCAGAAAGCTGTAAAAGAATTCTTACCCTTCAAAGATACTGAACATATGACTAGGAGAGTGCACCTTCATTTTCTTCTCTTATGCTTCTAACTAGAAAGTAAGAAAAAAATGCAATTATTCTGTTTCTATTAGAGAGATGCACTAGTCCTCTCTGGAACAATTCTTTGCTTTCCTAAGTGCATATTAAAAAGCTCCATATATATGCTGCAGAAAATCCACATTAATCCTCCAATGATTACAGGATTCCACTTACAGGATTAAAATTGTATTTGGAACACTCGTGTGCAAAGTTTTTTTTTTAAGTTTCTTTTAAAATTAAGCTTTAATATTGTGGCACATTGTCCATTTCCAAAGGAAAAGGCTACATAAAGGCACCCATTTATGTAGAGAAAAATTAGGAGCTAGTGGTTGTCTCTTTTATTTGGCCAGACAGATAAATAGCAGCTGTATCTTTTTGGGCAGACTTTGCATATTAGGAAGTTGAATGATCCCATTTTATAAAATGAAAAAAAAACACCACACCACTGCCCTCATTTTGTTTAAACACGCTGTCCTGAGTTCCAAGTATTTCTAAAGAGAAAATATTCATCCAGGAATGTTTTAGTCTCCTAAAATGATGTTGGCAAATGTCCCAGATGTAAGGATGAACATTATCTTACCGATCCATATTATAAAGATAGCCCACATAGTACTGCAGCTCAGGCTACATGGGGCCACAGTGAAGACAATTAGGAAATTTCAGTTGTCATAAGTACTCCTGTCCAAGTGTTTGTAACACAATCACTATCAAGGACCACTTTTACTTTTGCCAGTCAAACTGATTATTAAGTTTAATTCTGTGACAGTTGTTACTTGTCCATCTTTGAGTGCTGCTTTAGCTGACCAAAAGAGTGAAATGTATTCCTTAATTTGAAATAGATTGTGAGAAAAACAAAACCCTTTTTAGTTTCAATGCAATAAAATGCTTTGAACAATCCTACCATCAACCATTTCCTAATTGGATCATGTTGAACCTCTCATTTAATGAGAAAAAAAACTGTTGAATGAGTTGGATAGCTTTCTCATGTGATGCAGGTTAACACAGATGCATTTTACATGTTAAAGTTAAATGATCTGGCTTTTGTTTAACAGCAGCCAGAAGGCTTGGTAATCAAAAAGATGATCCCATTATTTATATATATTTTTCAGTTAGAGCTTTTGTATGTTTCTTGATGAAATCACAATGAAATAAGGCCTGAACTTAAAATTGAATTAAATGAGTTTAAGTTCTATAAAGTCAGCTGAGCTTTGACCCAAGTATCCTCAAAAGTTGTTTGGGTATTTCAGCAGCATATCCAAGGAGAAAAAAACAACAGAAAATTACATGCTTTTCAGTGAAGTTAGGATGCATTAGCAACTATGAGTTAGTTACCATATAGTTTGGTTTTCTTTGGACCAGCCAGTTACACAAAAATGCAGAGGGTGCCATAGATTAAAATGAAATATGTATCCAGAGCATCTCTTCGTTGAAAGCATTGATCTAAGCATCAGTTGAATGTTGTTTGAGTTAAATAATTTAGCTCTATACAGAATTCATTAGTTGCTGGATCCTTTTTTCCTGTTCCAAAACCTCTAATTTTTCCCCATTGCCATTTCTTTTTATATTTGTGTTTTTGCCTTCTCTCTCATTTGCTTGTTCAGGTTCTAATCCCACTTCTTTTGGCTTTTTGTTATCCATTTGCCTCTGACATTTCCTTCTGCCCTTCCTTTCCAAAAACATCCATGTTCTTCCTCCTCACCTGCATTTGAATCAAAAAGTACAGCTAATTTTTTGCTGAATCATGGATGCTCTTTCAAACCCTTTGTTATTTTCCTGTCTTTTTCCTGCCTGAACAAATATGTTGTTCTTTGGGGTGCAGTGGGGAGGGTATGACTTTAAAAGAGTGTGTGTATATGTTCAGGATTCATCTAATCATGTCGGTTTTTTGTGCTCTATTTGGTTGTAAAGCTGTCAGCACATTGGGATAGAATTCAGTATCTGAAGAAATGAAATCTAACGGATTGAAATTTTATTCTGTCTTGTGTATATTATCTCAGTTTCAAAAATAGATCTTTTGCCACTATTCGTCCTGTGCATATGGCAGTCCTGTATTTACTGTACATGGGAACTCTCTGAATACAATGGCATATGTGGGCATATACACACATATATGCACACATATATATTTATTCCAAAATTGTTCAGAAATTATGTTCAAAGACTACTCAACAGGTAGTCTTCAAGTTGAAAACTTTCATTTAGCAACTGTTCAAAGTTGCAAAGACACTGAAAAAAGTGGTTTCAACTGGACCTTGCAATTAAAGGCAATTGCAGGATCCCCACAGTAACATGATAAAATTTGTGCACTTGGCTCCATATATTTAGGATAGTTGCAATGTCCCAAGGTCATTTAATCACCATTTGCTTTCCAGCCGACTTCCAACAAACAAAATTAATGGGTGGAAGCCAGATTTGCTTAATAACCGCATGATTCAATTAACTGCAATGATTTGCTTAATCATTGCAAAAAAGGTGGTAAAATCAGGCATGATTCACTTAACAACTGTCTTGCTTAGCAACAGAAATTCTGGTCCCACTTATTGTAAGTCAAGGACTATCTGTATAATACAAAAGAGCCTAAATAAGAACCAGTATCATGTAGTGATTAAAGTGCTGGACTAGGAATATGGAGACCTGGTTCTAGTTCTCTTTTAGGCATAGAAGCCAGCTGGGTGACCTTGGGCTATCATCCCATCTCAGCCCTAATCAGAATCAGTCTCTGTGATAAGCTGCTGAAAAACAAAACCCTCATTGTATTATGGATTGCTAATTTTGCTGTAAGAGCTGGGCAAGTACAGTGTATAGTCAAAGCAAACAGACCTGCAATTAAAGAGAAATACTAAAATGAGTACAACAAAAGGTACTGGGTGTTTTAACAATGGAATTTGGAATTTATTAATGTTTGAATTCTTTGCTGTAGGAAAAAGTAATTTAAATATTCTAGGTATTTGATAGAATGCAAAATGAGTATCAAGAACACAGGATAGAAATAAATTTCTGTAATATACTATTTTGCATCAGAGCAATTTTATTCATCAAGTTACCCCTTAGATTGTTTTGACTTAATGCTGCATTGATACTGTGTTAAAGAAGCTGTAATTGCTTGGGTCCTTCATAAATCCCTAAGCCCATAAACTATGATTTATCAACAAAAGCAAGCACGTATGTTTTCAGGCAGTGATACTCCATGGCAAAACATTTTTGCAATTATGTGTAATACACTATGCTTAGAATCTTCTGGAAAATTTCAGAACTATCAGTATTTTAAAACATAGAAAAACATACTTTCAGAATGTAAGTTCTGTGATACACATTAGCTTTCTTCTTTATATATGTATATAGGCCTCACTGCAAGTCTATGCATGTGGAAAATATTCTCACAGACCTTTTTATAGCTCTTCATCACTTCCTTTGTACCAATTCTTAGTTTTAGTGCTAATACAGAAGTAAATGTACTCCACAACATTGCTGGCTGTTGTGAATAATGTGCTTTGCATTTAGTTATCCAGTAACCTATTTTCTTTAGAGACATAGCAGTGTGAAATGGTTAGCTTAATGTTGGGATTTCTAAGAGGGGAAATAGTATTTGAGAAGTGTGAAAGACTATTATTACTGTGGATTTTGAGATATATTTTAGAAAAAAGTCACAGTGTGGTAACATTTCTGGCCTTAGATTTGATAAAGAAGTGCAATAGATTGTAAAGAATCCCTTTTGAATATTTTGTAGAAAATATACATTCATTGTGTATCAAATATCAGTTGATTATTGGTTTTGGCATTTGTTTTTTAAATAAAATTTCATTATGAAATGAGCCACTTAGTTTTGTACCCTGGTCACATCTAGCTTATATGCTCCCCTCCCTTTCTGGAGTCAGCAAGAAATTATATCTTGCTTTCCTAAAGGGTACCCTTACTTTGTCTTCTGAATGAGTTTTTTCCCATGTAACTTTAATGTGTAACTTTTTGAGGGCTGGTTGATGTGGAAGAGGATTCTATCAGCTGAAATTCCAACCATGCCTTACATCATCCAGCATGTGAAAGACCTCCAGTGGCAATGCACAGTTCCCTGGTCATCTTATGCACTCTGTCTTTTTTCTTTCCCATTGCACTGCTGAGTGATTTAATTGTTTGTTGTTATTCCTTGAAACTTTGGTTTAACTCTTTGCTGGTATCTAGTGGTTCTTCAGATTTGTGCAGAGAAAATGTAGCCAATGAGAGGAGAAGAAGCAAGGAGGGAAGGGAATTCCATGCCAGGCAGGTTACACAAGTACAAGAACTGAATTTTTCAACTTACACTTTCAATTACAATTACAGTTCAGTTATAGACACAGACTGGTCAGTTTTTAGGCTTTGTGCTCTAGATTCACAAATCTACTTTAAAAATAAAAATGGCTGGAGAAGCAAGAGATCCTGTTTTTCTTGCAGCCAAAAGAAACTGAGAGACAGGAACCAGACTGAAGAGAGTGATACCACAGGAAACTAGCAGAACTACTTGGAGCCAAAAGATTGCTGGCATGGAATGCATCATTTCCAGCTCTCTCCCTGGCGTGTATCATCCTATGTTCTTTCACATCCATCCTGGAGCACCTTAAGCTATTCTTGGGTTATCTCAGCTTCATAAAGATATTTTAACACAGGACTTCCAGATGAAGAAATTGTGGACTGAAGACAGCTCTGTGAAAAGAATGAAGAATGAAGAGCTGGTGAGTAGATGGGCTCTTCATACCTCTCTGACAAAGAGAGGATGGGATTTATTTATTTAGCACATAATGTGTTACATTAGCCAAGAAACTACAGTGCTAATGTGGAGTAGTAGTCTGGCTACCTGTTTACTAGGTCTGTTAGGTACATGCTTGTGCGCTTCCCATGGTGCAACACAAGAGGGCAAGCTAGTTTCGCACCTGAGAGAAAGATGAACGGTTTTTCCTGCAATGTCATCCAAGGCCCTTCTCCTCCCACAAAGCTGCTGACACAAATGGGCATTTCAACCAGGAAGGTTCAATGCCTTCAGGATTTTAACTGCTACACAAAGTGCTGGCTTGTCTCTCCATAAAACTGGTACCTATTTATCTACTCATACAGAACATGCTTTCAAACTGATAAGTGAAGAAGCTGAGGCGAGTGATGGGAGCTCACCATGCTACACAGTGCTAGGATTTGAACCGCTGGAGCAGAGACCATCTCCACCATCATTAAGCCACTGAACCACTAAGCCTCTTAAGAGGATTGGAGATCGCCCACAAGTGCTATAGATTGTTGCTACTCATGAGAAGACCTCAAGACAGCAATCTCCAGCCAGTTTTGAGGACCAGGAGTTGTAGGAATAGCCAACTAACTATTCAAACCACAGTTGGTGCCTTTAAAAGGATACCACATTTCTATATATCCTTTTCTAATCTCATTTGGAAATTTCTTACTAACTTCTTTTCAGCTATTAGAATTTTTTGGATAGATAAGTCTAAAAATACGAGGTAAGTCTGCCTTTAAACTTTAATGAATTTTTTTTAACTAAAAGCTTAAGAATTAAAAAAATGAAATAGCAAAAAGGCAATTAAGTCTTTGATTTTATACAGTTATAAATGGTTTGGGCATGCAGATAAATTTGAAATAAGATCTTGGAGTTAATTACGAAGAATTCTTTCTAAGGAAAAGTTGATTTGCTTGTTTTTCTATAACAGAAAAAAAATGTGAACAGTTTAGAAAACTTGAACACTAGAGGGAACTAAAGATTTTAATTAAAGGAGAAGAATAGATAAACCTGATTAAAGCTATAGAATGACCCAAAATATTATAACATTGGACACATTGAAGAATATTTTTGAAAAATGGGATCAGACGTTAATATCAAGAGTGTCACTTGCAATGTTTGCTTTTGTGAATTATTTGTGTGAAAGAAGTGGCAGAAGAGGATTAAGCTTTATTGGATAAGACAGAGACTGAGTGGAATGAAGCAACAGCACTGGAAGTGGATCTATAAATCACAAGCTGCAAGGATGACATGAAAAAAGATGTTTCATTAGGTATACAAAAGAAAGTATTTGATACTTTAAAAATAAAAAGAGAATTACAAATAAGAAATCAAAGTGACCTGGATAATACTTTTATATTGGATTTGCAAAGAGGTTTGTTAAAGCTTGGACGAGTCATGTGAGAACAGATAAAAAAAAAAAGAAATGAAAAGAATCAAGTTCTGTGCCATTACTTGTATGGGTTAGAGCAGTGGTGGCGAACCTATGGCACGGATACCAGAGGCGGCATTCAGAGCCCTCTCTGTGGGCACGCGTATCATCGCCCCAGTCCTAGGCCTTCAGCTGGGTTTTATAAAACCTTTTCACTTTAGGCTTCCGTCGCCATGTGCAAAAAAAAAAAAAAAAGGTTCAATCTATCAGTCAATTTCAACTCGCGGGAAAAAAAATCTTTGCTACAAAACCATACAGCTGTTAGGATATTGGATTTTCGTATTTAGATTTAGACTGCCTTGATTTTGCTTAATTAAGAGCATTATGAAACTTCCTAATAACCATACATGCATTGGCTCCCAGTATGTGTCTGAGCTTATCGTCAAGTACCTTTAAAGCCATACATGATTTAAAACCCAACTATTTGCTTTTTTATCTAGGTCTTTTTCTTTAATGCCATGACTTTTACTATATCATTGGAAAAATCATCTTTTCAGTGATGACCCTCATCATGAATGTACTCCCCAATTGATTATTTTTGTCTGAATTTAGTGTCTTTTTTTTGTAAAAAAAGGAATATAAGTATCACTGTTCAAACTAGAGTGTGAGAAATGATTAAAATGTGAGAGATTAAGTTTTAGCACAGCCTTGATCTAAACTATTTTTATGTTTCAAAGCTTTCATGTCCCATTTGTCTTCTAAACATCACCTAAGAATCTGCAGCTGTTTGCTTTTCGTTCTGCTGCTCAAATAAATGAGAATTACAAGGAAACTCCTTTAGTACATGCCTACAGGTTTTGAGAGAGGAGAAAAGATTTTAAGGTCCTCAATTTTCAATTAATCCCTCACTAAATGTTTTAAAAATCATTCCTGTTCTTAGATATGTAATGTTTGTATCCTTGGTACTCTCTGAGCTTGGTTGTTTTCTTGTTTTCTTCTTATTACACAAACTAGATAACATCAAACTAGATAACATTAGTGTTTATATTGTAGATATTATATTGGGCTGAGTGGGAGACCTGTTAAATTTATATTAAAATTAATTGCAAATGGGTTCATGTTTAAGATTATGGCACATGAATGTTCAGGAAGTTGCTAAATGTATGCTTATTTGAAATATACATAGTAAATCTATTCTGGGTTTTTAACTTTGAATTATATGAGGCATGAATGAAAAGATATACCTCCAATGTTGTAAATGTGCTAGAAGTTCTGATATGGTCTTCAGCATCTATTCTTTCAGTCTGATGTGAGAAAAGGTTGAATCACTATTGTTCCCGAAGTTATGGCTTAGTTCCTCACAGAAGTGTATGGATCACATTATTGAGGTTCTTCAATATCAGGTTTGTGCAAGATGAGGTCCTTACAAGCTGATGGGAGTGATGAAAGCTTCATGAGTCGAAATTTGCCTGTAATTGTTGTCACACTGTGAGAATGAAGATGAGGAAATTCTTCACCAGCGTTGTGACAGTGATGAAAGATAGGCTCATCCTTATGACCCAGAAAAGAAATATTAGCCCCTGGAATATAATCACAAAGTTTCACGTGTGGAAAAAAATCCTGAAAAAACTCAAGCTTTAGCAGGAAAACTTTCAGTTACAGCTTTTTTGGGATACACAAGGTGTCACTCACATGATATTCCTTGGACCTGACACCACTATAGCTCAAAATGGTACATTGGAAGTCTCAAAATTCTGAAACAGTTAAGTAGAGTTCAGGAACATAAAAAGGGAATTCTGCAACCTGACAATATTAGGCTTCCTACTTTATGAGCCACCCAGTAGACAATTTCAAAACCAAATTTTGTTGTCTTTACCCACTCACTGTACAGACCAGACTTGGCACCATGTAACTTCTACCTTTTCCCAATCAGTCCATTGAAAAGACAAATAATGTCATTTTTTGTAATATAAATTAAAAGTATGAGTGCCCTTTATGAATAATGTTGGACAAATTGCTTTATTAACCTGAACTATTATAATCTAGTGAAGCACAAGTGAGAGAAGATAATTCAAATAAGTTGGTTCTCTCTTGATGAGAAAATTTTGTGGTTAGTGTTATACTGCTGAGTTGATTTAAGTGGAAATAATTTCTTTAGTGAAAGTAATTATTTATATAATGAATTGGAAGTTCTTTGTAAGGCAAAGTTTGACTGGAAATAACAATTGGGCAACATGAAATCAGTGCAAAAGCTGTCTGTCAGAATTATTTTCAATATAAGACAAAGGAAAAAATAGCTTGCACAAATACTTGAAACTGAAAGTCTGGCCTGCATTACACTATTAAATTACACAATAAAAAAGTAATAACAGAATAACAGAGTTGGAAGGGATCTTGGAGGTTTTCTTGTCCTATACCCTGTTCAGGCAGGAAGCCCTATACCATTTCAGACAAATGGCTGTCCAATCTCTCTTTAAAAACATCCAGTGCTGGAGCGTTCACAACTTCTGGAGGCAAATTGTTCCACTGATTAATTGTTCTAACTGTCAGGAAATTTCTAATTGTCAGGAAATTTAATATTTTGTTTTTATTATTAAATTTATATCTTGCCTTTCTGTTAGAAGAAGATATGAAAATGAATAAAGTAGATCTGAAAATAAAATAAAAGAAGAAATAATTAAACTTATTGTGGTGTAACCAGCCTTGCAGATAAGGACTGGTTGATCTCCTCTGTTCTATTTGCCATATTTACACAATGGCTTACATGTGCTAAGTGTTTGTAAGCTTAGCCTGGACTCTCATGTGATTTTGCTTTGTGTTATAAGCACAAAATAAAATAAAGATAAGTAATCTATTCAAATGGTAAACAGCACATGGATAATAGCATCCAATTAACTTTCTGCAAAGAGGAAAGAAGTTGATCATGCATTTGCAGCAGGATATAGAGATTTTTTCACCACTATACTTGAAAACTCAAGAACAGTGCAGGTTCAAAGAGTTCCATTGAGTTTTGCATTTGTTACTTTGGGGACAATGTGACCATGCTGATTGCTGATAAAGTCTTTGCCATAGGGAAAGAGTTACCCATATCACCATGCCCTTGTGTTGTCTGGATTTAGTTTTAGATCAGTGTTTCTCAACCTTGACATTTTAAGGCATGTGGACTTCAACTCCCAGAATTCCACAGCCAGCAATGCTGGCTGTGAAATTCTGGGAATTGAAGTCCACATGCCTTAAAATTGTCAAGGTTGAGAAACACTGTTTTAGATGGTAGTCTACAATCTGATCAAAACAGAATCTCAACACCCTTGATAGTAATTAGGATATGAATGCTATCAATATGTAAATAGCATCTAGCTTCCCTCTCCCTGTGATCATTGGGATATCAGAAGAGAACAGTAATCCCCCTCTCCAGTTGAGGTGTAGGGCCAAACTACAATAAAGCTGTGCCTCCCATTCCCTAAGTAAGTCCAGCAAGATACCGTGGTTGATGATATCAAAAATTATCAAGATACTTAAGAGCACAAACAAGATCACAATTTCCTTATCACGCTTTTCAGCAGATCATCCAAAGCTATCTCTCTCTGATGCTCCAGTCCAAAACTGGATTTAAATGGATGCAGTAAATTAGTTTCATTCAGAAGTATTTGAGGTTATCCATCTCTAATCCACTATCACCTTGACCAGAAATGGTAAATTCTAAACTAACCTATACTACTAAAAAGAGAATCTTTGAGTGATTCCTTCATACAATTTTAAATACAACAGTAACATCATTAATATGGTTGGTCACACTGACAACCAGATATTTAAACTGGATTTGGCATTTCTGTCTACATATCGAGTTCCCTTCCCAAGTTGTTATATTCACAATGTTAAATCACAACTGCCAATTCTTTAGCTTGGCTTTCATGCATATCAAGTTCATTCCAAGAACCTAGAATATCGCACAGGTATAGAAAACATGTGAATCCTAGCAGTGTATTCTTTTGTAATTGACAAATGGAAATTTTGTCACTGAGCATATTTTCTAAGTTTTCTAAAAATTGAAGATTTATTGCTATGGCATCCAGTGTGCCATAACTACTGGGATGATCATGGCCAGTTTATGCCATAATCTTTCAAACTCCATTTTTCAGATCTTGATACTTTGTAATCTCCAATTCTTCGTCTTCTCTTCTATATCCCTTGATATTGCCACAACATTTATCCACATTTTCTACTTTTCAACCATAGTCAAATTTAGTATGGCTTTATCAGTTTGTATATCCAATATCACTATAGGGATGTAATGTATAGTGAGTAGTAATGTGTTTTCTTCTTTTTTAATCTAAACTGTCCAGTTCAATTTG